CCAAGGTATTTAATTTTGTAGGATACAAATCTAACTTTCTTTAAAATATAATTGACATGGATGTCCCATCGTAAGTGAGGATCCAAGACCACTCCAAGGTATTTTATGTTGGGCACTCTATTAATTTGTATTTTTTGATCATTAATATTGAAGGAGAAATTTGTGTAATTTGGCAGATGTCTAGCATAAGATCCAAATGGTAAAAAATGTGTTTTAGAGTAGTTAATGCTTAATCTTCTACTGTTAAACCACCGAATAATTTTGATAAAATCATTTTCAATTACATTTTTCAGATCAGACCAGTCAGTGCCTTCATATAATATTGCAGTATCATCTGCAAAACTAGTTATTTTGCCAACACAATTAATTTGGAAAATATCATTTAAATATATATTGAATAACAGCGGACCTAAGACAGTTCCTTGTGGGACACCACACTCAATATACATTTCTTTACTAAATGATCCTGATATCTGCACAGATTGTGGGCGATTTGACAAATAACTTTCGATCAGTGAGTATGCGTTTCCTCTGAAACCAATTCTCTCCAATGCTACTAATAATAATTTGTGATTAACTGTGCCGAAAGCTTTCTTTAAATCAACAAAAATGCAGATTGAAGGGATTCTGTTATCAATATTTTGATGTATTTGATTTACAATTTTAGTTATTGCGTCCGATGTAGCCTTCCCTTCTGTAAATCCATATTGATTTTCACTTAAAATTTTGAATTTTGTGAGGTATCGAATCATTCTAGTAGATAAAACTTTTTCAAAAACCTTTGCTACACTGGATATTATTGATATTGGTCTATAGTTGTTAACATCTGTTTTTGTTCCTGATTTATGTATCGGTATTATATTACCTTTTTTTAAAATTGAGGGATATATGCCAGATTCAAAGCATTTGTTGATTAGGTAAGTGAGTGGTTCTGTTATGTCCTCGGCTATAATTTTCAAATGCTCGCTTTTAATACCATCGAACCCAGGACTTTTCCGATTTTTTAAGGACATAACAGTGGTGTATACTTCACATTGCTCGACTTTATCCAAAATAATGAGTTCAAAGTTCTTTTTGGAGGCTGAGTATTTTGTACATTTGCTTGTATATTACTTGCTAAATTTTCGCCTATGTCAGTAAAGAATTGTACAAATTCATCTCATATCTGTTGAGTATTTTTTAATACTGTTCCCGATGTTGTATTTAACTCAGTGACACACTCTTTAAATTTTGTTTTTCCAGTAATCTCATCAATAGTTGTCCAAAGCCGCTTAGGATCATTTAAGTTATTATTCAATTTATTTAGGTAATGTTTTCGTTTGGTTTGCCTTACAAGCTCAAATTTATTATCAAATTTATTTTTATATTGGTTGTAGCAGTCGGTATTCTCTGTAGTTGGCGTTAGTTTCATTATATATAGTCTTTCTTTTTCTATTGCCGATGTTATTAATCCTTTGGTAATCCAGGCATTTCTGCTTTTCTCTTTGTGACTAATTATTACTTTATTGGTACTAATATCTATTAGTTTTTTTATTTTCTCTATGAACAGTCCCGTTGCTTTGTCTATATATTTATAGAGTATAATTGTTCCCAGGATTCTTGTTTGACATTTGATATTAGTTTTGAATTGTCGACAAAAAATTTGTAATTTTCCTGGTTGTTATTAACGGTAAGGATGTTAGAATGTTTTTCATTTGAAGATATCAGTAAAATAGTGGAGAAGTGGTCAGTAATATCGCTTTCTAGGATTATTGGTATACAAGTAATTTTGTTGGATAGGTCTTTCATAAAGCAGTGATCTATACATGTGCCACTGATGGACCTTGTAGGTAGGTTTATATAGGACAGAAATTCGTTACTTGATAGGATATTCAAGTATTCATTTGTGATGGGATTATCGTCCAAAATATTTATATTGACATCTAATATTAATAAAATGTTGAAAAGCTAGAAACGTTTTAAAATTACGCTTTTTAAATGTATCATTTTCTTTTGTTTTACTAACTTATAAAAAAAATGCAATTTTCAGTAAAAAATCTCCTAGTAATAAAATGAGCAAGTTATGTAAATAATATCTCTATCTAACAAGCGTTCAATTATCTGAAGTACATGCAGAGAAACAACATTTCTGTCCTAAAACTTTTATTTCTTTGTTTTTGCCTAAATGTTAGCTATGTTGCAATAGAAATATGTATTAATATTTACCAATTATTAAATTAGTTTTTTCGTTGCCATGGCTGATTATTTAACAATTCATTTAAATTCGCAGTACATTTCCTATCATGTGACAAATTTTTTAGTTTGATTTAATTCAAAAATGGCACCATTTATCCATATTAAATAAGAGTACCTTTTTATGTAGAAAACCCTAAATTTTCAAATTCTAAAATTGAATTTCAAAATATAATCACACAAAAATTTTGGGGCTAAAATAACCTGAGTCCGTCTCTTTATTGGCAACCTTTCATATTATGGCGAAGTTTAGCTTGATTGCTACTCTTCCACTTAACCATAATATGGACAAAACGTCAAAAATTTATACAAGGAACATAATACATAGAATAAACAATTACAGAACAATGACGAGATTATACCATGCTAGCCAAGCATGCCAGAAAGCAAATATCGACATGAACATTAGAAGTCAACCAAATTGAAAAATTCATTTAACAAAATCCCAAAAATAAAAATAAAATAAATTAAAAACTCAAACATTGAGAGATGATTGTATCTCTAATAGCTGTTTTCTAACTGATTTTTTAAAAGAGAGTAAACTTTCTTGTTTGTTAGCCGCACTGACTGAATTGTAAAGCCGAACGGCATTATACGTGAAAGACCTCTGATATAATGAGGTGTAGTGAAGAGGAATATTGAACTGTTCATCATGACGTAACCTCCTTGAAATTAAATTCCTACGCGGAACTAACTTATATGCAAGGTAAATAGGTCTCTTGGTAACGACTGTTTTATGTACAAAAACCAACATATGAAACTTGAAAAGATTATTGAGCTTCAGCTACCCCAGCTCACAGATCTTGGATGTAACATGGCTGTACCTACGAAGGCCGAAAACAAACGACAACAACAATTTGAATTTCTGCAATCTGGTTTTTGTTATGGAGTCAAGACAGAGGATAAAACAGTATAAAACAGTAAAGCAGCTTAGATATAACTAAACTTTCCACCAATTTCTTTCTAGTCTTGAATTGAGAATATAACGATTGGAGTATAAGGAGTCTTAGGCTTGCATATGTAGCTTTAGATATATTACTGACGTGGTGATGAAATCTAAGATTTACGTCTAAAGTAGCACCTAGACTTTTTGCATGCGTGACGAGTGGAATATGGTCATTATTTACCCTCAAATCAATCATCCTTTCAAAATGCTCATAGCTGGTTTTGGGACAAAACAACACCTCAAAACTCTTGGTAGGATGAGCTTCAAACAGTTAGCCTTGCAATAGTCAGTTATATTTACCAGATCTAAATTTATTTTATACGAAGCTTGATCCACATTAGTAGAGTCAAAAGTGAAGGTCATTGTGTATCGTCTGCGTAAGTATGAATACTACAAAACTGTAATACAGTATGCAAGTCAAAAGTATAAACTAAATATAGTAAAGGACCAAGCACGGAACCCTGAGGAACACCGGAGCAACATCGGCACTAGAGAACCTCCTTGGCTTGTAGGACCGTAGCGCCCTTAGGGGAAGTTTGTCGAACCTATGCTTATATAAACTTTTTACCTATTTTAAGCTCTAGAAACCGCTGGTAGAATATTGCACACTTTTTTTCGTGACACCATTGAATGAACGTGTACATCATGGAAAACCATGTATCTTATTTCCGTCGGTCTATCTGTCTGTCTGTTCGTCAATCCTTGACTATACTATTAATTTGACAGGTACCGGTCGGATTGTAAGGAAATTTTTACATAAGCCTACCACTATGCCAATAACGAAAAGGTTTTTGAAAATCGGCACTGTGATAAGTTGTAGGGCAGGGTATGTCTTAATTTTTTGACGTCGGTTTATACTTATACGCGTCCAACCGCGGTAATTCTCGCACCCTTCAGACATACTATATTCACTCATGCAATGCAAATACGTATTTAAGATGCATTTCAGTATTATCTAATAACAAACCTTATTTTACCTAGTGACGCTAGTAATAGTTGCTTGCACCGCATGTCCAAGCAATATATATTGCAAATATAGGATTACAACATGAACACTGCATTTGAGAAACTATAATGAATGCTATTAAATTCCTCAGAGTTTAATTAAAGGGGGTTGCAGCAGGAACAGCAGGAGGTTGCATTGTTCGAGAAAGCAAAATTAACCGTAGCTTTCATATCGTACGAAGTAATAAGTTTGATGCATGCGGTGAATTCCTGCAACGCAATGGTGAACATCAATTATGGACAAAAGTAACAACAAAGCGCCCATCTCGAACAGAAGGAAAAGGCATCTAAGGTTGGACCAAGCAGTGAGTCACGTACTGCGAGGCTTGCATGAACTTTTGTTTTGGCGATATGTGACTAAGGCCCGTATCGTCAGTCGTCCCTACAATTGTAGCGCGCCTTATGGCCTCCTTGATTGTCATAGTTACTTCTCCGTGTCAGCGCTCTATTTTGAAGGTTATGTCACAAACATCTATTTGCATCAAATTGTGCTTGCTTTTGAGTTATATCATGTTTTATCAGCCTGAAATTTCCTATAATTAAAAAAAAAACATATATTTACAATAGGAGAGCGCTGACGCTGACACGGGACAAGTGTAATCTAGAAATTTTTGAAGGAGAGAAAGGAGTATGACAATCAAGGAGGCCATAAACGCGCCCTACAATTGTAGGGATGACTGACGATACGGGCCTAAAGTGACAACAGGTAACAAACAATCGCTATCGATCAACAACATCCATGGCAATGTGCGATATAAAGCAACCACACGAACTTATTTGGTTACCTGATATATTTTTAAATCATTCACAAACAAGTATTATATTATTATGACTATTATTGTTATGCTGAATATGACTTTCTTATATGTTAAACAAGATTGTTCGTGTGAGGGGTGGCTATAAAAGTTTCCCATTGGCTGAAGGAAAGCATGTTGCATTTCTAGCATACAACGATGCACATCAATTAGAAACAAAAATAACAACTGGAGGAGGAACGAGTAACAGAAGCAAAACGACAAAGCTCGTCGCATGCGGGTCTTGTTCGGTTGCCAGTTCGGTTTTCTCAGCTGTATCTTCCTTGGAAGTTCCTTAATTGGGGTAATCGAATGGTGCAGCGTATTGCATTCTAATTTCTTACGGTTGCGGCTTTGCGTCGTTTTCAGCTAGAATACTTTATCTCGTATATGTTCGTTTGTGTCATATATGTTATAAGAAACCTTGGTTTATCAGTAATTAGTCTCCCTTTCTCCTTGGTCGGCAATGAAAACCACACAGGATGAATTAATGACACTGACAGTTTTGCTGCCTTATGCCAAAATAATGATAATGATAATAATAATAGACGTCTGTATTTATCTAAAATTAACATAGTCAAACTTATATGGCGAAGTTTAGCATGCTGCTACTCTTACATTTAACCATACAGGTATAGTCGCCAACAGATGTTCACAATAATACGCTATCCACAAAAAGATTGGTTAGCTACTTCGAAAGGAAAAACTAAAAAAGAAAAATGCATTCTTTCCAAGTCTACACGTACACCAAAATTATTAACCCCACTAACACATGGATGAAAAAAGAAATTCTTGATTACGTAAATTATAATAATAATAATAATAATAAATGTCTTTATTAGCAACACAACAATAGGGCGAGGTTTAGCCAGTTGGATTACTCTTACACTCAACCCTATTGTGTGAGGAAATATGTATGTACAATTCAAACTCACATGCATGTAACCTAAAAATAAATACATCGATCTGGCTTTCCAATATGTGAGCTAATAATAAAGGGGAAAAAATACAATCAATTGATAAATCCGCGCTATATTGGTTTACCAGAAAGGAAACAGTCAAGAACCAGTAATGAATGGATGACAACACAAAAAAAAACAAAGATAATAACAACTAATTATGGTACATCTAACAGCTGATTTTTAACCAGCTTCCTGAATGTTACTACACTTTTGCTTCTCCAGCCAGGGTCGGTTGAGTCGTATAACATTTTAGAAACAATGCGGTGTAGTGCAGTGGCATTGTCAGATTATTATTATGCCTCAGATCTCTGAGATTAATGATTCCTCTAGTTACCAATTTACTATGGAGGTAGATGGTCTTTTTAGTACACAATATCTTATGCACAAATACCTTAAGACTATATTCAAATTGTTGATCCATTTTCAGCCATTTCAACTCCTTGATCTTAGAGCAGACATGACTATATTTTCGAAGACCATACACAAACCTACAACAGTTGTTTTGCATTCTTTGGATCCTACACCGATTCATCGAGTCAAGACAAGGATAGTATAAGGTTAAAGCGTAGTTGAGGCTGGACATTATCAAACTTTCAACTAGCTTCTTACGCGTTTTAAAGTTCAAAATGAATCTATCAGCATATAGCAGTCTTAATTTGATGTAGGTGGACTTCGATAGATGACACACATGTTTGTGAAATCTTAAACTAGAGTCGAACATGACACCAAGATTTTTTGCTTGTTCCACAATAGGACTGAGCTCGTTGTTGATACTCAATGCAATTTTGTCCCTTACTGTATTATACAAATGTTTGGGATAAAAAAGTATGCAAGTACTCTTATCCGGATTAATCTTCAGCATGTGTCTTTTACAAAAATCAGTGATGTTGGCAAGATCACAATTTATCTTATATGACACTTCATCCAGATGAGTCAAAATGAAAAGATAGCTGCGTATCATCCGCGTAAGTTTGTATAGGACATTGCTCAATACATGAATGTAAATCGAAAGGTATATATCAAATACAGTAATGCACCTAAGACAGAGCCTGAGGTACACCTGAAGAAACGGCAACAGAAGATGAGACACCTCTATCTGTCTTCACCTTTTGTTTACGATTAGTTAAGTAATTTCCAAAAAATTAAGCGGAATGTCAGAAAGTCCAATATACTTAACTTACTCACAAAATTTTATGGTTACAGTGTCGAACGCCTTAGAGAGGTCAATCAATCATATCAATTCTTTATTCATGTCACAATACATAAAATATGTTTACATACGTCAGTAGATCAATGAGAATTGCATTAGAATTAAAACAAAGGGAGTGCTAATGATCATAAAAATTACAAACAAGTACACCAGCACTCATAAAGATATAACGCAACATAACATATTAAGATTTATAGTTAAAATTTATGTCTTAAAACTCTTCAAACGTGTAAAATGAGTTATTAATAAGAATTTTCTTGATTTGAATCTTTAAAATCTTAAACGGAAGCGATTTTAAGCCGTCTGGAAGTACATTAAAAAATTTGACCGCCCAATAACCAGGTCCATCTTGACACCTTCTCAGTCGCCAATAAGAAGGTACTAGATTGTTCTTATGCCTAGTATTGTGCTCATGGACGTTTCCATGAGTTTACATAGTTAGAGTTTCTTTTAACGAATAGTAGATTTTCAAAATATATAAACAAGGCACAGTAAGGATTTCCAACTTGACAAAGGTATCTCTGCAATCGTCCCTGCAGCCCAGACGGCTCACAACCCTAACTGCTCTTCTTTGCAAGACGAACAGTCTATGGACCCGTGAAGAATGCCCCCAAGCCAGAATGGCATAGGATATATGTGAATGGCAAATGGCAAAGTAAGCCATTCTCAATATTTCTACAGAAACACAAGAAGACAAACTCCGTAGCACATATATACCTTTGGTGGCCTTTCCAGCAACACTGTCAATGTGAAGGCCCCATTGCAATCTTAGATCCAAAGTAACCCCCAGAAACTTGGCTTCATCAACCAAACCACTGTCTCCAGGCAGGCTTCGCATGGAGAACACCATCTATTTGTCTTATCTTTATTTAGCAACAGCTTATTGGAGCAAAACCAAGCTCAGCCTCATCCTGCGCAGCCAGAGACTGTGCCATTGAGCGCTCAAAACTATTAGCGGTGTGAGAGACGGTCGTATCATCCGCGAAGAGAGTAAAGTTTGCCATATTGTTATTGAGAGGTAAATCATTTATGTAAATTAAAAAAAGAATTGGGCCCAAGATGGAGCCCTGTGGGACGCCAATATTAACACTTCGCTCCGCTGATGTCACTCCATCACATCTCACCACCTGAGTTCTATTACTAAGGTAAGACTCAATTAGTTTAATGGAATCATAACTAAAGTTGTAAGCAAGGAGCTTTTTTAAAAGGATGTCATGGCTCACACAATCAAATGCCTTACTAAGATCGCAGAAAAGAACCGTGTTATACCCTCCTCCATGGAAAGCATCAATTATAGAAGAAACCAGGTTAAGTACACCCATAACAGTGCTCTTACCCTGGCGAAAACCAAACTGATATTGTGAAAACAATTCATTTGCCTCAAAAAAGGTTACCAGTCTCAAAGCCATACATTTTTCAAAGATCTTAGAGATAACTGGAAGAAGGGATATAGGTCTGTAGTTCTCTGGTGAATCAACATTGCCGTTCTCAAAAATAGGTGTGACACTAGCTCTCTTTAGAACAGTTGGAAAAATATTTTCTCTAAGACAAATATTAATCAGTCGCGTTAGAGGGATCAAAATTATGTTATACATTTTACAATTTTTAAATTGAAACCAAAAATATCTTTACTGTTTTTATTTTTTGAGATTATCTGTTACATCGCGAACCTCGTTAAATGTGACTTCAGAAAAAGAAAACAGAGGTGGCGGTACCAGGAAATCAATATTATTAACAGGATCTAAATGTACATCAGGGATGTGATTACTATATTACCTGCTATATTACCAAAAAAATTATTAAAGTCATCAGGTGACAGGTCACTGCTCCCAGGGCACTTATTACTCTTACCTCTTTTTTTGTTAATGATATCCCACACGGTTTTAGCAGGATTACTTGAGCTCTTTACAAGGTTGTCATTAGCATTTATCTTAGCTTTTCTTATTTTATTTCTATATAGATTTTTGTAGTTTTTATAATACTGGTCACTCACAAACCATACTGCCCTTTCAGCTCTCTCAAAATCCTTCAAATGTTCCCTCATTGCACTTAGTTCGGTATTAAACCAGGAAATATTATTGCCCTGGTCGGATCTTACCACATAAGTTTCTTTGGAAAAGAGTATGTATAGGCTTCTTGAAGAATATCCATGAAGTGGCTAAACTTTTGTTCACCGCTGGTACTATCAACAGTAATGAAATCCCAAGATATCTCCGACAATCTACTGTGTAACATAAACAAACCTCTTTGTGTTACTGGTCTATACATTTTTTTATTTTGAATAAAACCTGTGGTTTCACAACCAAGAAATTAACCAGCTGACCTTTATGATCTGATATTCCAATATCACATACTGAGAGCCACACAGCTCCATCGCACTACTAAGGAAAACATTGTCAAGACAGGAGTCCCCACGAGTTGGTTCAAAGATTGTTCTTTCTAAGCCAAAGCTAGCTAGAAGGTCATACAATTTACTTGTATTAACATCTAATGTGTTGAAACTTACATTGAAATCCCCAGCAAGAATAATTTGCCTATTCCTACTCAATTGTGTTAATATTCCCTCCATTGATTCCAAGAAGGTATCAAAATTCCCCGAAGAAGATCTGTAAATAGTTAAAACATAAACATTCAGACTCTGACAATAAACCACACAGTACTCAATACATTTCTCAATATAAAAGGCAGGATTAATACTTATAACACATGAATTAAATTTATTTTTGGTAAAAATTGCAGTTCCTCCACCTGTGAAGTCCTTCCGTTCAGAAGACCCTCTCATCATGTATCCCTGCAAATGGACAACTTCCATTTCTTCTTTGGTCAACCAATGTTCTGTCAGGCACAGTACATCAATGTCCTCATCAACAAGAAAGGCTTCCAACTCATCTATTTTTCTTCTTAGAGATCTCACATTTATATGCAGAATCTTTACTTCCTGCTGTTTAGGTTTTCCTTTACCATATTTTGGCGCTGCAAGTTCCGAAAATGGTTTATTAGGATGCCCCTTGGCCACAGATCCGGACATAAATATTTATCAATGTCATCATGAGGAACAGTAAGTCGAAATGAGCTGCAGTACTTTCCTTTCTTGGTTTTCATTTTTTCGCAGGTGTATTCATTAAAGTTGTTTTCTTTCAGAAAATTTTTCACGCTTTCGCTAGTAACTTCTGGTGCCAGGCCAGATAAAAACAAAGATGATACTCTGGATGCTGGTCTAAGGCTGCATATATTTACATTGGAGCCTCTCAAAGGTTCAGGTCGACTGGATTTATCAACAGGTCTGTTTCTGACCGAGATTTTATTTGTATTTCGGTTTCTAACCTCTATCCATTTGTCTTCATCTTTCTCAGTCCGAGTAGCGATGGGCGCTGAATTCACGATGACAGGGGAGTTGGCCGCAGGCAGTGCGAAACTGTCGTCAACTGGTTCAGCACTAAGATTTTCCAGGAATTACGATTTCGTTGTTTGCAACCACATTATGGATTTTGCGAGGTTCCTCGTTAGATGTCACTGAATCCGATGGATGTTTGGTATTTCGTGTTGTTGGACCTTTTTATTTAGATAATCAACTCTATCTTCAAGGAAATGCACCTTTCTCTCAAAAGTGACTGTTTCTTCCGCTATTCGATTTTTGCTTTGCAGTTCTTTCACAGCGTTCTTAGAAGATCCAACTCCGTTGATTCTTCCCAGAGCAGCATGTTTACACTCTCTCTTCTAACCTTGCTTGATTCGTTCATACAATTGGTATTTTTCAACTCGCCTGCCTGCTCCAGACAAGCAGGATGAAAGGAGTTATTACACTTTTTGCACTTCACTACGTTCACAACTTTTTTTTTACAGTGTAGGCACAGTGTGACGTTCTTTTTTTCATTCTTTTAAGAGACGAATTTTCAGACGAATTCTCACTTTCCGCCATCTTGCAGATCATAACTAAAACTGGTGTGTGTAATATGTTTAGCCATATTATTTAAGATATTGTCTGTCAAATGGAGAAGTGAAGAGGTCCATTCAACTGGTATATGTTTGGAGAGTTGGGTAATATTGTTGTAACTTTTTGTGGAAAGGTATGTAACGAAAACTCTTTATATACTCGTACTTTAATAAGGTCATTATAAATAATAGCATGGTAGTGAAAACTGCGATTAAAAATTGTAGACGTATGCTGGGGTATTCTAATATTCTTTCTTTTTGAGAGTTTTACAGTGAACATCATTAGATATTATGCAGGGTGATAGGTAAATAGGTGTAAAACATTTTAGGAGGTGATAGTAGAGCTCCTTTGGTATCAAAATTAGTATGTAATACCATACCCTATATTCAGAGGTTAAAAGTTATGGAAATTTAATTATTTTTTAAAAAACAACCCTTATTACAGAGTAAAATAGTTGAGATAAAAAAAAGTTGGTGATTAAACATTCTTCTTTTGGTGGTTTCAGGTTATTATTTAAATAAATAATTCTCATAAATTAAAAAACATATGAAAACACTACTGAAAACGTATTTATTTTCATTTAAATGTTAAATGAAAATTTTTATTTTCAACTTTCACATTAAGAAGTCTTTTTTTTCAAAAAAATCATAATAAAGAAAATGTACAAATAACTGCAAAAACTTTCTCATTTCATTAGGTTTCTAAATGGTATAATAACATATCAGTAAGTAAACCATTTAAAAAACAATATTACTTTGCTAGAAAGGACCGCTAAGCGCATTTCATTGTACTGAGCAGGTAAACCGAGCCTTTCATGGTTCGACCCTTTTGTTATTTTTTGTGCCCTGTGCCGTTATTCGGGTTTAAGTATTCGGAATCTGTCGTCGCTCCTCGGAAGCAAGCTCTGCGTGTGTTATGAATTGACACAGCTGACGGATCAAGGAAAGGGAACTAACGCTTAGGTTAGTTAGTAGAATATCAACCTTAACGCGGTAGGGCGTACTTTACTTTTTTGATCGGTTTTAATAATGGCGAGTTACCGTAACGAAGAATACGCTGATATTCTGTTTTGTTATGGTTTAAGTGATGGAAATTTCGTTGAAGCCAGGCGAGAATACGAAAACCGTTTTCCGAATCGGCGAATACCGAGTCATCGAGTATTTGCTTCTGTGTACCAACGCGTCAAGGAAAGTGGACAGGTTCATGAGAGACGTCATGATGCTGGTAGACCTCGGTTGTTTGACGACGAAGATCGAGAGGCAATACTGGAATGCTACGGCGAGACCCGACGACGTCTACACGAGTTATAGCAAAGCAGCTTGGTTTAACTCAGTGGAAAGTTTGGTTCGTTTTGCATTCGGCGAGACTTTACCCTTTCCATTACACACCGGTTCAAGTATTAGAAGAAGGAGATCCCGCAAGAAGAATTGATTTTTGTCGATACATGCTTCATCGGGATCAAGAAGAAAACGACTATTTAACTAAAATATTGTGGACCGACGAGTCTAAGTTTGAAGAGAGGGGACAACAAATTATCACAACTTACATTATTGGGCCCCACGAGAGGCAAATCCCCACATGGCAAAGCCAAGAGCCCATCAAAGAAGATTTTCGGCAAACGTGTGGATGGGAATCATTCATACGTATCTAATTGGACCAGTTTTTTTGCCTGACAACCTGAATGGGAATCCTATGAAAACTTTTTGAGATCCGAACTCTGGGAGTATCTCGAAGACCTGCCTCTGAATATCAGGATGCAGATGATCTACCAACACGATGGCTATCCCGCGCATTTCCGTCTGGGTGTTAGATAGTGGCTGGACGAGAAATCCTTGTCGCTGGATTGGCCGAGGTGGACCGACACCGTGGCCAGCGAGAGCCCAGATTTAACACCGTGTGACTATTATTTATGGGGGCACATGAAGTCACTGGTGTACGCTGAGCCCATAGACACTCTTGCACAGTTGAAAGAAAGAATTATTGCTGCTGCTGACACTATCAGAGGACAACTAACTGGCCTCATCACGCGTACCAACATGAGAAAAAGACTACGGGCTTGCATAAGAACGGCGGGCGTCAGTTCGAACAACAATTGCAATGAATTTTACCTTCATTTCATTATTGTATTTTACTTAACAATTGTAGTAACTTTTAGTCAGTTTTTATTATTCTGTAGTACAATTACAACTGTGTAAATGATCTAATCGTGTAACCGTAGTTTAAAATAATAACTATCCCATAGCTTACAGTTACATTATTTTCACAAAACACTTTCTTATCAATGAGAGAGTTGTGAAAATAGGAGACAAGCCATTGGTAAATAACTCCCTATTGTTGTATTACAATACATTATGTTTAGTTTCACACAGTTTTTGTGCACTTATCATACCAATTTAGATTCCTTATGAAACAAGGATATTATTTAAATTGTTTGTACGTTTTTTAATGTTTAATCAGTGTAGAATGTGGTATTTCGCTTATACATTATCAAATGTGTATAAGCCAAAGATGAAGCGTATAAAAATATTTGAAATTTCTAAACATGTGTAGTATACGATATTGCAATAATTTGGCATATATAATGACCAATGCTGCACATACGCAACTTAAAATTTAGTAAAGGGTACTTAGTCATAGGTAAGTTTTCTGTGAAAGACTTTTAACATGCTCGATAAACCTTAATTTTGTATCAAAGACAGCACTAAGAATTTTTGCAGAATCAGAAAATTGCAGGATTTGTTTATTTACCTGGATGTTCAAGAGCTGTGTTCCTTTTGGGCGCAAAATAATATCAGTTTAGTCTTTTGTGGATTAACAAGCAGATTATGATCTGAAGAGTACCTACTATTTAATTTACTAACATCGTTTTGTAAAACTTGGGTAGCATGATTTACATTAGGTATCTGGGTCAAAATAATGGAGCAACTTAACTTAAATCGAAAGTATAGATATACAGGGTATCCGTAAAGTTGGGGTTTTCCTTTTCAGAAACAACTACCCTTGAAATAACAAAGGTAATGTGTTGTGAAACGAGGGCAACCAAGTAAAAAAAATAAAGGAAAAAGTACTCACTCTCCAGTTGACGAGAAGGGCTAAGTACGTCTCTGCCCGAAATCATACCGCTCCAACAGAAAATGAAATCAGCTGATGCGCTACCGAGCAGACGCAGAAACCACATTGATTGTCTTACACTTAATGGCACATCTTCTAACAAGGAAGGCAAAATGTTGCGTAAAAAGTCTAGGTATTGCATCCCGTCCAATGGATTTGGGAGAATGAATGGTCCAATGAGCATACCGTTCACCATGCCAGCCCAAACATTCACCGAAAATGTTTGTTGGAAATGTGCCCGACGGACAGCGTGCGGATTTTCTACTGACCAAACATGAGTGTTGCGAAAGTTATTCACCCCATTACGCGTGAACGTAGATTCGTCTGTCACCAATATGCACTTCAAAAAGTCCGGATTATTGTCATGTTGATGCAACAACCACTCACAAAACCGCATTCTTGCTGGAAAATCATTAGGTTGAAGGGCTTGTACACGTTGGACGTGAAACGGCTACAGCCCCTCGTCACGCAGCGTTTGCCACACTTTAGTTTTTGATACTTGCACTTCTCTAGCCACGTCTCTAGTGCTTGCTGAGGGATTCTCGTCTACGCAATTAGCTCTACACGCGTGACCGTAACCGTCGGTTGAAGGTTGCATACTGACCTGACACACTGACCCCGACCCAGTTCTGTCGTCGGGTTGAGCCAGTGACCTTGTACCAGTCGGTGATGTCGCGGCTACAGGACGGTATTCAGATATTTTTGATGTTGCAGAGCCCTTTATCTCGGTTCCCTTAAGACATTTGTGTATATGGTACTAAGAAAAATTGCTTATGTTTTCAAGATCTACACGTCGTGTAAAGGAAAACCCCAACTTTGCGGACACCCTGTATGAGGAATAGCAGCGGCCCCAATACAGAGGTCTGAGGCACGCCTGAGGGAATCATTGTCACTGGAGACATTTTCTGGTTGACAAAAATGAAATGCGAAAATTTAAGAAATTTGGATAAACGTTTTTTGTTTTGCGATGTCTACAGCACCTAAATTCATGTGGGGGTCATAGCCGGTAACGCTACATAATTTTGAAGTGACTGCGGTGTTATGAATAAAAATCTTTATCTTTGTGGAGCGGTTACAATTTTTGAAAATTTGCTTTGATCGGTGCTGATTGTTTCAGGCTAGGACATTCAATATTCAACAACGTTATGGAGCTCAAACATTTTGTATTTTTAGCAAGACTTATTTTGACTCATGGAAAATTCAAAAAAGGCATAGGTCAATGCTTGAGAAGTACCGAATCAATCCATTTGACACTATTATTTCCGAAGCTTCTGAAGACGGTTCCAGGCTTGATAGTCAAAGTGGCCTCATAGAAAACATAAAATATTTGAATTACTTTTTATCTTAAAAAGCTTCTTGCAGCGTTGCAGTTGTAATCTAGAGGGTAAAAAGCGTTCGGCCAAGAAACTTGCGTTAGATTTTGAAAAACTTGTTGCATTTTTTTTAGTACGTGAAGAGTACTGTGAGCTGGG